CAGGCAATTGACTCGTGTCGACCGCAAACCCGTGATTCTGCGAGGTCATGTAACAACGACCGGTTCCGATATGCGTGACCGGTTGATTATGACCACGGTTTCCGTAACTGTACGTGAAAATTTCTCAAGTTTCAAGCTAGTATAATACAATACAACGCGAGCAAGAGAGAACGTAAGAGATAAATACATACTTCATCTTGTACGTGACACAACCGGCGGCAGTGCAGAGCAATTGATGCCCCAGGCAAATACCGAAAATCGGCTTGCGCGTCTTCGATTTGAGAATCGATCGGATATTTTCAACGGTCGTGTCGCACTTGAGCGGATCGCCCGGCCCGTTGCTCAGGAACAAGCCGTGATAATTGGCTTCGTTTAAATCGGAATTCCAAGGCACCACGTCCACGCGAGCACCTCGTCTAATTAAGCACCTCAATTGATTGTACTTTAGACCGCAGTTCACCACGCATATGCGTGGATAACCGTTAGAATTGTACGTCGTTTGCACAGGCTGAAACACGTTCAACGTTCGGCGTTAGAGTCGGTGAAATGTATCGAGATATATATATATATATATCGAGAGTAGGAAAAGAAGGACACCTCGACAACTTCTGCGACAAGATTCCTCTGGTTCGGATCCGTTATCGGCGGAATCAGACGTGGGAGAGGATTCGGTGGATCGAATACGATTCTACCTAATATAGCGCCCTTTTCGCGGATTATTTTTGTCAGGGCTCTGGTGTCCACCTCGTGTATACCGGGAACCTTTTCCACTTTCATCCATTCGGAGAGCGTTTTCATCGCCCGCCAATGGCTCGGAGTGTCGCAAACTTCACCGACCACCAATCCGGTGGCCCAAATCCGGTGAGATTCGAACCAGCTGCAAGAATACAAATATTCGTTAGCACGACGATGACGACGAAGGGGCCGTTGAAAAAAAATCACACCACTTATCGATAGCGGTAAATATTTATACTGTGAATTTCTATCGTACGTCTATAGGATAGATGATAAACGCAGTTTCTAACTTCAGTTAGAAATAGCACAATAAAATTCTTTCTTACTACGGGATTTTATGTTTGTCCACCTCGTTGCCAAACACGCCGTAATTTCCGATCAGTGGGTACGTGAGTACTAGAATTTGAGCGTGGTAGGAAGGATCTGTAAGCGACTCCGGATAACCCACCATACCAGTCTGGAATACTGTAAAAAGATGTATCGCATACATCACTCGTACGGCCTTCAACTCACTTGGCTCGTCATTTCTCTCGTGTAAAATAACTAACAATAAGAAGAGCACGACACGACACGGCACGGCACGGCACGGCACGACACGACACGACGCGACGTGACGCGACGAAATTAATCGATTCTGTCGTGAGAATTTAAAAGCCACCATGTGATCGTGGTCGCATCGCGATCCAGACGAATTTTTCAAACGAACGATTCTCCGAGGAATCTGGCGCATATACGCACCGCCAATGTCAGTGGATTTAAGCGGTTATTTTATAGCGGTAGTTATAACGAGAAAGAGAGACGGTTGTGACCACGAAAGCCCCATGTTAATTAAATACGACGGTATTAACCGAAAGACGGCGATCGTGCACGCGCGCCTACCTGCGACGAACACGTGCTTCTTATGTACTCTCACCTAATTCACCGTCGATCGGATTCTCCGCGCCAAAATGTCTTCCCGGGAAGACGGAACCATCTTCGAGCAAGAGATAAACGGATTTCACACGGTCGCACATTTTTCTCAGGTTAGAAAAAGCGTACTAGGACCGATGCATGCTCTCGACCCGACGAATACTGTTCACAACACCGTGCGTGGCTTCAAGTATCGTAAGCGGCTCCCACGAGGTGTCTCTCTCCGCGTAACGCAGGCCTGCGCGCAGCGCCATAAAACGCTGCTCGAGCCAACTATTCTTTCGCGCACGACGTGCCCAATGACGACTGGACGAACAAATTGGTGTTTACTTCGGAAACTGCTTCTCCGATCCGCGCGCCATTTTACGAATTCGAAATACACGCGTACGAACACGGCCGCGGCACTGTTACGTGCGTTCTGGAAAAATTATTACCAGGTTAATCAAACGTTTTTATATCTTATAACGAGTTATTAGACGGGACGGGACGGGCTACGCCGCAATCCGACGATGCTCCCACGAATCGTTCGACGTATTCTTTCGATACAGCAGACGATCACCTATCAGATAATCCCTTGCGAAATAGAATTCCATCATTGTCGGGTAGAGTTTGTATCCAACGCTGGAACGATCATACACAAGTCTCTGTAGAAAACATTGGTTAGGTGGTTGTAGCGGTGATTTCAGATACACCTACAAATGAGCCGGCATCGGCAGATCAATCCTGTTTCGGCGAACCGAATCTAATATCTCGTCGTGGCGTTCTTTCATTTCGTTCCAATCTACTTCGCGTCCCTGATCGCACAAATGAGATCGAATTTTGCAATAGAGCGGCTCACGGTCGTACAGGTGTTGAAAACCTTCCCTCTCCAATCTTTTCACGGTACCTTCTACCCTCACCTGTAAACTCCATACCGTTATTATGCATTTCATTTTTTACAACGCACGCACACACACACACCTGTCTTACGATCCGATGGCCCTGTTCGTTTACGTAGCACCACAGGTAACACATGGCAGCATGCGGAACGTTTTCCTGAAACGATCGAGAAACTAATCGATCGGAGACCGATGACGATTTACCTTATTTTTCCCGCAAACTTACCACATCGTCCACTTTTCTGCTGCGACAATCTGTCACGATTACGAACCCGTCGTTGTCGAATTCCCGAAGAATCAGGTTTCTCGCGGAGACTTTGTTATCCCTGAAACGAAGTCGCGGCGCTACATTGTCATTTTTTCACATGATCGCAACATCGGTCAATAGTCGGTACCGACTTTGAAGTGGTTGCCAAGCAACAGGCGTCCACTACCTGCGCGTTGTATCTTTCTGCCTCCGCACGCCACGTTCTGAACAGCTCGACCGGATGATCGCCGGCTGCCTCCTCCTCGATCCTCGCCAAATCCGAGAGCGCCGATGTTTCTTTCGATCCCTTAGCAGACCACGTGTCCCATAGGGGGATCGATTTAATAATACATCGAGCAGAACGTACCAACCGAAGCATCAGCGACTGATTAAACATTCAACGGTTGCAGTTTGTTTGAAAGAAACAAAACCGAAATACGCTTCGCCGTCGTAATATTTCGAACAACCCGCGTACGAAAGTTCCGCCTGTCGGACAAAAGCTAATCTGTCGCGCATGCTGACATTGCGAATGTAACCATGATGTTCCTTCACCGCCGCGTATCTTCCACGATGACAAAAGTGTCGCGTTTCAAAGTGGCTCTCACGATGCGTGCACGTTTGCAATAGAACACCGTTGATAATCTCGACCAAAGAATGTTCTTACCATGTTTCCGATCTCGTACTACGCCAGCCGAATCCCAGTCTGTCTATATTCGTTGGTCTGGTACGTCGCAGCAACGATTTTGCTGAATCAACGTCCGCTACACAAGCGTGGAGCATTTATAAAGTAACCCTCCCACCACCTTTCTACCGGACACTGTGCGCAAGTTGCTACGAAACGGTAGATATAGAACGCCGGTCACATGTTCCTACCTTCACCGACTACCCGTTGCTTATAAACTATCAAACGAACCATCTCTGTTTATATAATTATAACAAACAGGAATGCTCGATTGCATAAAGCAGAAAAGCCACAGTCGCCGTATCTATATAAGAGGAGATACTTACTCTTACATTTTAATGAAACAGTTCTCTTTACACGCAGCCACACATATTATACATATACGTATCTATGTATACATATATACGACAATGATACAACAAGTACGTTTAAGTATTTTACAAGTGTGTTTACGAAAAGCAAAGATGCCCGAAAATGATGCGAACTATGCCATAGGCGCGTGTGTATTTCAGTCGTCGTCAGTTCTTCTCGAGTCGTAAATGAAACCCCTCGGATAAGAGTGTTATTCGATGGTAGATTTGATCCAAGCGATATTCGAGGACATTTTATCGTACAATCGGGGCCGTTCGAAAGCGGCTTTCGAACAGGCTATACGCCAGCTACCGACACCAGTCAGCGCCCATCTACGATCGTCCGATTGAAGACACAACATCGGACTACCGGCAACCTCTTCTTCCTGCGGATAACGAACGAGAAATAAGTATGTATTTCCGTGTCACACCACCGGCGAACGATCGATCATCTTTCTGTTCTCGCTTACGTTACAGTCGTCGGTAGAATAAGCTGGCTCCGTGCAAACGCTATTCACCGAAACGATACTAATGTTCTCGCATCTTTCCATCGCACTGTGCCTAAGCTGTACCCTCTGTAGCAAGTCTCCTGTTCCAAGAAAATAAGAAACGTCCTTTAAGAAACGTCCAACATTCTTGCCGACCACATTTGCAGTTCACCGCGACAACACACGATACAGCATCAGCGAACGGTTATTCATCAATCGCGTATTCTTATGTAAGACAGCAGCCTTGTAGTACGTGTGTGTCCTCGGTGGTTCGCGTAATCGTTACACAACGACGGACTTTGATTTCTTACGATTTCTGGCCCAGCCGAGGGTGTTGCAGTGAGTCGCGTTCACGGGTGGATCTTGGCTCGAGGGCAGACAAACGGGTCGCACGAAATCCGAAAACGTGCTCAAAGGGCGATCCAGCTTCAACAAAACTGTCGTGCTTCCCTCGACGGGTGACTTGATCATGCCGACGATTCTACGTTCCTGTTGCCACGGCGACGTACTCGAGAGTCGTACAGTGCCCATTCTCGCGGACCATTCCGCCTTTGGTTGACTGCAACAAGTGTGCCCGTTATTAGAGAGAAAAATCGTCGACTTGCGGAATATGTATTCGACAGCTACACCAACCCCTGAAAGCAAGTGGCCGTTGTGATCAACCAATTTTCCGCAACGAGCGTTGCGTCGCATACGTGCACCTCTTCTTTGAAAAGAGCAACGTGCCAGGGCCAATCGGCTGGCTCGGCCATTTTATTCAAACCTCGGCTGCCACTTTTCCCTCGTAAAGGCTGCACTCCACATTCTAAAGATCGGACAATGTGTACTACGCGATTTTGTATTACGCGTGAACGTAGGAAAATGGAAAGCGTAGGCTACGTTTCTCGTACCGAGTTCGGAGCATTCGACGTACATCACTTCCTTGCTCGGACAGGGCGCCCTGACGAACGTGATCTCGCTGGCTGACGGATCCTGCATGTGCACGTACTGAACATCTTCTTCGTCGTCGATTCGTACCTCGACAGATTTCACTCCTCTGCGTGTGACAGACCGTAGAACGAATCAGGCTTAAAAGTAAAACGTCTGCCGACGTGTCCTAAAGATCCGAGACGGTGTACTCACGTGTATGTGAGGAGATTGCACAAAGAGCTGGCGGCAGTCTGAAGAACAGTCTCCATTTCCGTTCCTGGCAGCGTCGCGTTCAGATTCGCGGTGCAAAGTTTCCCGATAGTACCCTTCTCGTTGAACACCACGAACCCCTCGCTGTTGTACTTTGCGGCGTATGGGGTGTCCGAGGGTTGAGATTTCACGGATCGAATGCTCGGCGCGAGGGACACTAACGAGAAACAGTGAGGGAAAAGTACACGGTATACGGAAAAGGAGGGAAATATCGATTGGCTAGGTCGAACGCGATACGTACGACAATCCTTCTCGTCGCTGCCGTTCGTACAGTCCACCTTTCCATCGCATCGGTTTCCGCGCGGAATGCAAGTCCTGCCTACACCGCAGTGCATGTACCCGTCGCGACAATAAGCGCAATTTTTCTCGTCCGAAAGGTCAGGGCAGTCGATCACGCCGTCGCAAATTCTCGGCGACAATGCCTTCGCCTGGAGGGCTTGCACGCATCCTACGGCACACAAACAACGTTCGTCCAATATCGATCCCGTGCGGAAAGCTAAGAAAGTTGGTTCACCTGGCTTTGCTCTGCAGCCACCTTGGTCCGTGTACTCGGGGAAGTTGGAGCAGTCCAACAGTCGTTTAATTCGGTCCGGAAGTCGACTGCCACATCCGTTCCAGAATTCTCTGCAGAAGCTTCGGCACGGCAACTGCAGCAGGTCTTCCGGCTGATTCGATATGCACGCCGGTTGCAAAACTTGGCAGACGAAGTCGTACGCCAATCGGTAACATTCCGCATCGACCAGCTCCCTGAGAAGAAGAGTGCAGTTTGGTGAGAGATCGCACGGGACACAAGTCTGCCACGAGACTCGATCGTGCTTCGGTTGTGCACCTGAAAGCGATCACGTCCTCTTCCACGTCGGCCAACGAACGGTGTCCCAATATATTTGGATAGGACGTCACGTTGTACGGGAGATGTTTGCAGTAGGATAAATCCAAGTTGGCGCATCTTCTCGGTGGAGGTGGTGTGGTTGTCGGCGGTGGCGTCGAAACGGTCGTTTGCTGACTCACCTGAGCGTTCAGAGCCGTCAGGCTCTCTTGGACTTCGAGACTTGGAGGGTCGATCGTCAGATTGGTTAAATATTTCGAGGTTTCTCGACTGATCTCCCTGGTAAGAATCTCGACGATATCGGGAGTGGCGATCGTTTGATATCGTGGATCGAATCTGATGTCGAAATGCACCACCAAGTCTTCACCTTCGGATCTGCGACAAATACGATTCGAGCAAATACGAATTGCTCGTTTTACACGTACAGCTTTCGACGATGTACACTTACCCGTCCAACGCCAATATCTCCACCGCGAGGAAAGAGACTTTCAGCCAGCTGCGTCGGAAGATTAAATTAAGTCGGTCGCGATACTTTCGAGATCGCATTCGAAAAGCCTCGGTAGAGGGGTCCGCGAGATCCGAGGCGTACGAGTCTCCCCCGATCACTCGGAATGTCGCCAAGAAGATTTGATCACCTGGGGGGTCCGATGTTAGGAACGTGTCTGTAAGTACACGGATTAGCAGCGATACGTTCGATTCAACTTACCCTAATTAGACAGTTGTTCCAGGGAAAAAGACAGAAGGATACTTTCTAATGCTCGACGTTGGAAGAACGCTTGGTCGGAGAGAGCGTTCGTTTTCTCCTATCCAACTTAACTTACCTACCGTCAATTTTCCGAGCCGATAAATGTAAAGGACGGAATCGAGGGCAATCGGCGAGCACCTACAGCGAGCCGGCTCGCGGCTCGAGGCTCACCTTTCACCGTGCCTTTACTCCACTATTTTTACACCGCAGAGAGGATTTTTTCGGTCCGCGATACAATTTCTTGCGGTGCCGGAGAGCGATCTTCTGTGGCTTGGGGATCTATCGCCAGCCAGTTTTCCCTTTTACCATATATGTACCACGATTTAAGGCATACGCGCGTCTTCGTAGCGATTTCGCAATTTCGCGATTCCTCGAACGCGGAATACTTTCGAAAGGAGAATTCGGTTAGCGTGCTGAGGCGTCGAAATGCTTCAAGGCCACGGATCCCCCCCCCGAGGACGAATGTCCGAGGAGGGGTGTCAGGAGGGCAGGACAACTCGGTCAGACCGTTAGCTCTGCCACTTTCAAGGCCTCCTCGCTGGACCCGAACGCGATCGCGCATCTTCTTCGACCTTTGCCTCTCTTTAGCCGTAAAGCATGAATTATACACCTCTGCCGCGTTAAGTTCTCCTCGCCTCGCCACGACGCCGCGGGGAACGTGTACTCGCTTTCGAGTCCCCGCTACTTGCAACTTTATCGCGCCGTGACGCGACGGGACGCGTTTTCTCGGTAACTCGGCCGAACCGTTATGTTCGCGCGTCCAAAGACCTCAATGGGCTCTGGCCGCATCATCCTCTCCTTTTTGCCCACGAAAGAATAACCCGAAGCAGTTCGTGGCGACGATTAAGCCAGCTTAGCAAGAAGACCTATACGTCTTCTTCGTCCTTTCCGTTTCGACCCCCTTCTGAAACCCTCTCGGGATTTTTCAAGGTGAAGGAACAAAGGAAGACGTCGATCACCGTCTACCATACTCGACGAAACGAACGAGGAGCTCGTCCGAGGTAATTTCATGCCCACCAGACCCCGTCGATCGTCGGTTAACCGTGGAGTAATTTCATTTACGACACCGGCCGAATCGCGCCTAAGTCCGCGGAGAAAGCGCGCCGTGCCGCGCCGTGCCGCGCCGTGCCGCGCCGTCTAAACGTTTAAAAATGTGTTCACGCTCGACAAACGGAGAATAGTCCTACTTCTTTCTTCAAACTTGTTATACTTACAGCCAAGATATATGGAGACCCCAGAAAAGAGGAGAAAGAGCAAAAACGCGGCCAACACGCAGCATCCGCAACGATACTGTCCCCCCAGTTTCCTCGTGAATCGAATATCGCTGTCCGATGACAGAATCGAGCTCGGAGTTCCGGCACGGCTGAATCTTCTGGTGCTCACCGTGCTTACCGAGATCTGCAATGGAAAAAATCATCGATTCCTGGCTCTGCGACCGTGTAAGCTCCGTCGAAACAGAACAGCCTTATTGCGAAACGATATCTCCGGCTCGGAGAAACGTTGCGAATCTTTCGTGCCCCTCCTCCAGGCACGAAAGGGTAAGCATTACCGAGGTTTCTCGACAAGCCACGACTCCCGAAACGGCACCGATCGATCACTAATCCGTGAAAATATTCGGCGGTTTTACGGAGGCCAACGACGCTTGGGCCACGTTTCGGCCCAATTACGCGCGTTACGTCGATTGGCAACGAGGCGGATTAGAAAAGGAGAGAGGCTGTAAATGTTTCGCGATCGAAATTGCAAGGTGATCCGTGTAATTCTCCGTTACGTAAACGTGATATCAGTTGCGTTCGTGTGCTTATCCTCTGTGACGCGCACGTCTAAGCGTGTAAGCGTCCGTGTAATCGTCTCGCCACCGATGCGCGTGCACATTCGTCACCAACACCTAGACACGGGTCGCGTGTACACGGTTGGCGCGACTGCACGATGCGGCACAACAGGCCTACGCCCTCGTTCAAATGTTACGCTCGGCACACGCTCCGTGTACCGGAGAGCCGACGAATCGCACCTTTTCCTGCCGATAACAACAAGTTTCGATGCCCCTTTCGGTTCACCTGCGCCAATTTCAAACTGAGAAGTGTATCTGCCGAATGATCGAAACTAACAATAAGAGCAAATCGGGGACTTTGCTAGAGGTGTCTTTGGCGAACAATGGCGTGGGGATATTACGAAAGCCGAACGAAACGGGTTAGGTGGAGTTTTCGTAGGAAATGCTCGTTCGTGCCCCCTTCTAATCGAGCACGATCAATCAACCAAATTACAACCTTCCACACGAAAATTCCCCGGCTCGCGATGCAACGCGGCGAAAAGGTCAAGAGACTCGATCTTTTCTCGCGAGGGGAACGACCACTTCTGACGCTTTCGTTCTACGGCGAAAACGTAATGGACACGACGACAGTGTCGCGATCGCTGTAAAAGGCCGAGGAAAATCAAGAGCTGACAGCGCACGTTAGAAAAGCGCTTTCGTGAAAGTTCGATCTCTCGATCGACGGTTCCGCTGGAATACGACAATCGTCCAACCGTAAAAATAAATAGCTGCCTGCCAAACGCAGGCTCTTTGATAATTCCCTCCAATTCCTCGAATTTCTAGAGCCGTCTGTCGCTGAAAGAACCGTGTCATCGACCCAAGTTTCATTCGCTTGCCCACCGCCGGTTCCTCCTGACTTTCTTCACCGTTATTACCGTTATTCCAAACGTCCGACTACCTTTCCAAAAGAGCAAGAATCTAGGAACGAGTTCTGCTCGCTTTAAATTACAATCGGTTAGCGGTGTGCCGCTGTGTATTGGGAGCACGTGCGTGAAGAAACGTGCACCTGTGGTTATACCAGAGAAATAGTAAAACATTGTTACTATTCGGCCCTTATCTACCAGCACGAAACGACAGTTAACTAACGCGCACGTCCCTTCTTCCCCATCTTTTCTGCAGAGACAAGTTTCTGCGACCGGTGAACGAAAGTCGCGTTGAACCGAACGCTGCGAGCGAGTGAGGAGGCACGTGATAAATGTCATTCACATAATTCGAACGGAATGGCAACCGCCGCGCGATTCGGCGCTAGTAGCCAAGTAACGGTACGCCGAGAAGGGAGCAGATGACGGCCCAACCCAACAGTAGACGCAACTCTCTCTCCTTCTCCATGCGTAGGACGCCTCCCTGATTCGGGGTCAATGGAGAACAAGGTCGATACGTCTGCGAACAATTAACCAGCCTTTCTCGCGGAATCAGGATCGAACGCGATTCGTCGGCTTGCCGCAACGCAACCGCAAAAATAATTCCCTTTTTTCCAACCGTGTCAATGGTATTCCGAAAGTTTCTACACTTTCGTTTCCACCAACAATGCATATATTTCTTTCTCATCGATTTTACCGTATCTTTCACGTCCGATTTCACACGGGGGCCAACCAGTTAATTAACCGCGAGGAAAGCGCATGCAGGGGGAAAGTGCGCCACATTCGTCTCTCACCTTCGAATCCCACGAACTCTTCCGCTTGTGCTCCATCGCGACCGTCATCTTCCAGCCGTTCAAACGATTTCTTTCTGCTCCATCAACGTTTCTTCGGGACGTCCACCGCGTGAACGCGCACCAACACCATCGTGAAACTGATTTTCGCTTCCTCTTTGCCCGCGATCCCGCAAATATGTATCGATTTACGTTTTTAGTCTCTCTCTCTCTCTCTCTACGATGCTACGCTACACACCTCCCCGTTAATCCCCGTTAATTATATTCCTCCGCTTTGTACTCCAACTTAATTCGAGTATCGTTCAATTGCCGATACACCTGTGTGAAAAAAAAAGCAAACAATACAAATTATCAGCAGGTGCCCAGCCTCGACGGGGAAAAATCAGCAAAGAACACTCGACACTGCTGCGTTTACCGCGGGTTCTACCATAGTTTCTTCGAGACACCTAACGACACGATCTAATCGCGTACCTTACTTATCCCTTAATACGCGTACCCGGTGCTCGTCCACTATCGTGGCCTTCGGGCCGATTCACTTTCTTCTACCAATTTACAATTCGCCATGCCGCCCGCTGGCTTCACAATCACTCAACAATCTACGAGCGACAGGTGCACGCGAATACCTACAGCGATGCGACAAGATTCGAGTGAAATATTCCGATTGAAATGATGCATGCAAAACTACCGAGTTCGACTCTCGATCGACCAAGTTTACGGAGGAAGAATTTGTCGGAGCAACTCGGTCGCAGACTGACTGCGAGCCAAAGAGATTGTCCCGAACGAAACCAGACTGCCAGGCAGGCGAGCTGGATGCACTTTCACGTCATTACCGGTTCTTTACACGACCGCCACTTCGAACATCTGCGTGCTTCGCCAGAAAACATCTACGTCGTTGATAATCCGTGGAAATATTCTCGAGAAGAGAATCGTGCCAAGAATGTGAAAGGTGGGAAAAACGGAGAAAAAATATCTTTAATCTGCTCTTCTGGAATCTGCCGCAACCACTTGCGTTCGGGTTAACTCTTTCAAGGGTACCAAGTCCAATAATTCCGCTCCTGCCTTTCCTATCCTTCGTTGTCAATGAACTGAATTCCACGTTATACACACGTACATACATACATCACGACGTACGGGTCAACTATCGAATTTCAAGGGTAGTTTGCGGATGGTAACTGAAGCTACGTCTTCGAGTATCGATTTCGATTACGAGAACGTATCGTGCACAGACGTGTTAATTTGACCGCGAGGGATTTCGAAACAAACCAAGGTAGTAGAAGAAGAAGAAAATTTCCATCACCTGCTCGCTTCTTTCCGATCTTTGTACTACTTATGTACATGTCACTGCACAATCTGTTCCGTTCGTTTTTTCCATATCACAATTTGACTGGAGCAAACGATATTACTCCAAGGAGTATAATACGAAACGCACGTGTATATTTCTGCAGCATCGCCGTTTGGCTGGAAAAAGTTCGCCTCTGTTCGATGACAGCTGTGCTGGTCGGTCTAATCGGAAGCGTTTCCCTGTTCGACTGGTGCCGGGAACGTCAAGCTGGGCCTTTCACACTCTACGAAGCAACGGAGCGCTCCTCAAGGCGATCCTCTTTCCTCGTGTCACAAAAAGAAATAACCGTTAATACGATAGCCGAACCTTCGAGGAGCGAGGTACGCGCACGAATGTGCACCGCTCGACAGTCCACCGCCGATTAATGACCTGGCGAACGTACACGCGCCCTTCTCCGCCGCAAGAAGAACGCCTGCCTCTGTTACTCGTATACGTAGGTACACGTATACCGTTTACCTGCTCTCCACCTAATTCTTCGATCCTCCTTTGTATCTCGCCATTCATAAATCATAACGAAATAAACTTAACTCCTCCCTTCTCTCCTCTCCCTTCCCATTCGCTTCCCAAACGAGTAACGTTTATTCGTTGCGGTACAGTAAAAAGTTTGTGTAAAACTTTGCTCCGTGTATTGTTCCTCTTAAGTAAGTTGACTTATACGGTGGTGGTGGTGGTGGTGGTGGTGGTGGTGGCTCTGACCCGTCGTTGGCGCGATTTTCCGCGGTGAACACGCAGCGGTGAACAGGTGTGAGAATGGAAGTTTGTATACAATTCGAGTACTTAATCGTTCAGTTTATTCGTATGGACAATTAAACGATACATATACATGGTGTGTACGAATTACGTGTCTCTCTCTTAGGTCTAATACATCGACAGCGATCAGAGGCGCGTACAGAGCTTCGAACGAGGCAAAGTACCGCCACGATTGCGTAGCTACGTTTAATGATAATAAGAAAAATTAAGTATAACTACCCTGTAAAATACGTAATGCGAAAGTTCATTGATATTCATTTATATTTATACTTGATTGTAGTTCACTGATACTCGAGAATGATACTATCGTTTCGGGGTTAGCGGTATAAATAGGTAATCGTCGCTCTTTGCAATTCAATAGTTTCACAAGTTTCGGAGGAAAATCTATGATATAATGGTTATTCAGGCAATCGACAATATCGGGCAGTGACGCGCGATAATGTTCGTTCGTTTCGTTTAACCCTGCTCTTCTCGTCGGGTCTATTTCACCCTAAACAAATTTCATTCACGCATAAATCCTTCATTTATGAGAGGGCAACGTAATCGCTCGAATAACCTTTTCACCAGTATAATTTTCCAACATTTTTATCATCTTTTCTTACTTTTTTGTACCAACGTACTGTTCCGGTCATTGTGATACAAATATGACTGAGGTGTACGTTTGGAATAATAAAAATGCTTCGATGCAAGGAAAATACAGGATTACGTTGCACAAATGGTTACTTTATTTCATTCTGTTTTCCTTTCTTTCCACACTTTGTGCAAGTTGTGTCTCAGATTCTTACTTTGTTTTTCGTTATTCTTCGAAAGTTACGCAGCAGTTACGTCTTATTTTTATACCTGCCAGCATAAGATATTAAACACCGGGTCATATTGACCCGAAGAGTAAAAGCGTATACTACAATAGGTACGAACAGAGTGGCCCCTGGGGGAACCAAAACCTCTCGTTTCTTCCAAAACTTGGTCTCTGGCGGCGATTCTGTTCTTCGTTGGGCTAATTTTCTCCATACGTATATTGTTATTGGCTTTCTTTCTGTATACGATGTATTTTTCCACGAGTGAAAGCTTGCGCGACCGAATGGTACGATAGGAAAATTTCTCCTCCACCGTACGATTCGAAGAATAACGAAAAACAAAGTAAGAAACTGAGACACAACTTGCACAAAGTGTGGAAAGAAAGCAAAACAGAATGAACTAAAATAACCATTTGTGCAACGTAATCCTATATTTTCGGCTACAATCGTATCGCCTTGAAACATAAACCTCAGTTATATTTGTATCACAATGACCCGAACAGTACGTTGGTACAAAAAGTAAGAAAAGATAATAAAAATGTTGATAAATTTTACTCGTGGAAAGGTTATTAGACCGATTACGTTGCACTTCTCATAAATGAAGGATTTACGCGTGATTGAAATTTGTTTAGGGTGAAACGGACCCGAAGAGAAGAGCAGGGTCAAACATCGCATTATCGTTCTCGTTCGGACGAGTTAACAATTTCAAAGATACGTAAAAAAAGAAGGGAAGGTATAAAATCGATGCCGTTTACTTGTAATTCGCGGGGGTCATCGCGCGATCGGTCAAACCTACATACTCATCGATATACCCGACGACGCGTATATAACTCGTTTGACTGGCCTGGCTACCGATGACCTCGCGTTGCGATAACAGTTTCAAAGTTTGTCTATATCATCTTTATTATAAATACACTGGTGGACACAATTATAAGACACCCCATACAATTCTCGTTATCATAAACATACCGAAAAAAGTAGAAGAATTTTTAGACTACTCTGTAGAGGAATGTTTTGAGAGTCAGATAGGACAAAAGTATAAGACACCTCTCTTATCAAGTGATATTGCTTGTTTCGGCTTGTAAATTCTTTGTTGAAGAAAATTTGTTAATTTATATTAGAAAAACAATAAAAAGAAGAAGAGATCAGGATGCATCGAATTCAGCCCTTACACCTAAGCAAATTTTAGCTGAATGTGATTGAAATGTTTCAGTAAAGACAATGCACAAACAACGACGTTTAGAGTTTGCTCTTAATCATCTTCGGTGCAAAAACAAGTGGCGGGAAATTCTTTTTACCGACGAGAGAAGACGAGAGAATTTTATGGGCTTATAACGGAGAAACAGAAATCAAGTTTGTCGATGGCCGAACGAATAGTGCTGGCTGTTTGCGATTAATCAAAGAACAATAGCTGGAGCACGGACTCTAGTCCTAAATATTATAGAAAATGTTTGGGGACAACTTAGCAGAATGGTATATCAAGGTGGAAAACAATATAATAATATTCAAGACTTAAAAGAAAAGAAAAAATATGTCATAATTTTGTCTAATTACATGCATTTTTTCCATTTAGTGTCTTGTAATTTTGTCCACCAGTGTATCTAAGGTACGACATTGGTAA